AGGATGAGTCCCTGTAAGATGCCACGAGGTGTCCGTTTTCGTTGAAACAGCTCCAGGAATTCGATGGACCGCGCGATCAGTGGAAAGCGCGAATTTGTTGATCTTTCAAAAACGGTCAAAACACACTTTTTGACCGTTTCTCGGCCTAAGAAGCCAGGAAAACTGCCAAGTCGTGGGACCACGCGCAATGAATTTAAAGCATCGAACTACGTAGGATTATACACGAATCTTAAAATTATTCCTTCGACCAAACTCGAGCAAAATCGACAGGGGTTGCATGGACTCAATTTCCGGGGCCAACATTGAAAGTTCTTAGATACAGTTCATAGAAGAAAGTTCTTCGTTTTTTCCGGATCTCGGCCACCAACATGTAGGTCCCAGGTTTTTCCCCCAATATTTTTTTAATTTATTTTCCGACTAACGGGTTTTCAGTGTTGCATTTTTAGCCTTGTTTCCCGTTTTTTCCCCTTGTGTGTTTACACATTGAAAGTTCTCCGATCGGGCTTAATCCAAGCTAGATATCTTGGAAACGATCAGAGAAATCCGATTTTTGTGTCGATTACGCTCCACGAGTCCGTTAGACCACGCGATCAGCGAAAAGCGCGAGTATGTTGAACTTTCAAAAACGGTCAAAAACACGCGCTTTTGACTCTTCCTTGGCTTAAGAATTCCGGAGAGTCTCAGGACCATGTGCAGTCAATTCTACGCCCCCGACTACGTAGGATTTGACAGTATTCTCGAGATTTTTTGTTTGTTGCAAAATCAAGAAAAATCGACGGGGCTAAATTGTCAAAACTAACACATGACATGGACTAAACTTTCGGGGTCAAACACTGAGAGTTCTCCGATCGGGCTTGAACCAAACTAGTTCCTTTGAGAAGATCTGAGGAATCGGATTTTCGGGTCGAAAAAGCTCCACAAGTCCGGTGGACCACACAGTCAGCGGAAAGCGTGAGTATGTTTAACTTACGAAAACGGTCAAAAACTGTCAAAAACGCGCATTTTTGACCCTTTCTCAGCTTCAGAGACTCGGAAAGCCTCAGGACCACGAGCAATGGATTTCACGCCTCGGACTACGTAGGATTCAACACGACACGATTTTTCTTGTTTGTTGCAAAATCGAGAAAAATCGACGGGACCAAAACTAAAACTTTTTCGAACTAAATTTTCGGGGTTAAAATCGAAAGTTCTCCGATCGGGCTGAAACCGTGGTAAGTTTCGTCCCCTTGGAAATGACCCGAGGAGTCCGATTTTACGGTTGGAAAAGCTCCGCTGGTTAACGCGACCATCAAAACGGCGAAAACAAAAAAAAAGAATTTTCAAAAACGGTCAAAAATCTCGTTTTTTGGCTCAGAGAGCCTCAAGATGTCTCGGGATCACTTTTTACACACAGCTTAAATATCGCTGTTTGGAAAGTATCACTACCATCATGAGATTAAAGGGGCTAACTCATAGATTACTTGACGATTGCAGTGTTTATTTAATTATTTAAGGCGAGTTTTTTCAGTGGTTAACGGCCGTAAAACGGTCATACACCACTAGTGCTGTATATAAAAAAGACTCGCTTCGAATGAGATTGCTGTAATTATGGTGTCCTGAAAAATAAACTCTCACAAGTCGATCAACTATATATTGCCTTATGACGACGGCGCAGAGAAACAACTATTCGTACTTGATGGACGTCCGTGCTGCATCTGAAAAATTGAAGGCGCGATGACGCGAAGCGTGACCTCTCAATGCTCTGCTATGTGCTGCCAATGAGGTGTCGTTCAGTTTCGGGAGAAAAGTTAAAAAAAAGGCCCAAACTCATCTCTCCTACCTTCGGCTGTGTTTCTTACGTAGTGCTTGAAGCACCATTACGAATATAAGACAAACGCAAGCGAACACAATGAAAATAAAGCTAGAGAAAGGATACGCGTAAACAACGGCGCAGAGATACAACTATTCGTACTTGATGGACGTCCGTGCTGCATCTGAAAAATTGAAGGCGCGATGACGCGAGGCGTGACCTCTCAATGCTCTGGTATGTGATGTCAATGAGGTGTCGCTCAGTTTCGGGAGACAAGTTTAAAAAGAGGCCCGAATACGTCATTCCTGTCTTCGGCTGTGTTGATACTCATTCTTTCTGCTGTCTTCAGGTTCTTGTCTGATTCTTTTTTAGGATGGATTTCCAGACCCACGTCTTAAGCTTAAGCTCGTGTAAACCGCAGCATTGACTCGGTTTTTTTGGAAATAATGGTGCCTGGATGCGTCTAGTGTCTTTAATTTTGAATGTTTTCTTTAATTTCAGAAATCAGTCGGTTTCTTAAATAGTTCAATTTTGCAATTTTTACTCTGTGTGATTAATAAACTTAGAACCTGAAAATAGTGTAAACTTGTGCTGCTTTGCCGAAATTTTCTGAACCCCTACGTAGGGTACACGTAGGGTATGCCCTACCAGGAAATACCACATTACGCCCATTTAAACAGCCAAGGGTCTACGCTCTCACATGAGAGCCAGTCCGACCCTGCTGGATATCTTCCTTGATTTTTATAATTCTCCATTTTTTTGGCCAGTGTGTTTGCCTACCAGAAGTTCATGCTTCACACGATTGAGGAGCTGGGCCGGATTTAGGGGGTGGCCACATGGTGGAAAATTTAGGGGGCGGAAAATGTTGTAATTTTTTCAAATGTAGGTATCAAGAAAAAAATCTGATTCAGAAAAAAAAATAAAAACGAGAAGAGGCGAAAAAATCTCTCATATTCCCTGAGAGTTAAAGTATTGTAATTTCTAATTTGTTCGTCTTTCGGTGATATGAGAGACACCGCCTTTCATTAGTCTAGTTGAGAGAGAAACCAAACACGCAATTTGGCCTAGAGCGGCGCGGCGCAGAGAGCAATGATGACGAGGACTTGAGTTGGTAAGGAGAAGCCCTCGGCGCGTCGGTCAGCAGAAAACACATATTAGCGCCTACAATACTCCATGAATACTTCACGCATTGCGTTAAACGCAGTGCGGTCAGCAGCGGTTGGCGTGAAACTCAAAGTGCCAACAAGATTGCATGAATACCTCACGTATCGCGCCAAACACAGTGCGGTTGACGCGGTGGCGGAAATTAAAATCATTAAATCACATTAATGTTTATTCTTTCTATCTTTTCTTGTAAATGAAAGGCCTCGTCCACACAGAGATGGGTCTACGGAACTTAGCAAAGTGCCGTGAAATTTTGCCAGTATTGACAGGGCTTTCACAAAAAAATGTGCCCAACACGAGTAAATGTGTCTTATGCACCCCTCCTACTCCGGCACGTTTACTTGATGGTTTGTATCGATGTTTCATGACGAATGAGAAAGGGAACAAAATACAGGCGGCCCGTGGGCGACAAGTTGGTAAATCTGGCCCTGTTGAGGAGAGGTTGTCCTAGTGTTGGTTACTTTTCGCAAGAATATATTTTTGGCGTATCGTGAGCCATCAGGTTTTTTGCAGTCAAAATAAAACATTATGCCAAGATTTTCCAGGGACTTTTTATACAAAATATTCGTCAAGGACTTTTTTAGACTTTGCGGAGTGCTCTTCGAAAAGACGATAGGGCTTTTTTCTCAAGTTGATTTTTCTTGCAAAATTCTGCGTAGTAAGTTGATGCACACGCACAATACTTGATTTTATCAATGGATGAGTTTGATTGGCAGTTAAATACCACCATCAAAAAGAAAAAGAAACTTGAACTAGCAGGGAGAGGGGAAATGTATTTAAGCATGAATTTTTTCCTCAGTTTATGCTCAGAGGAGAGAACATAATTAACATGTGATGGAAAAATTAATTGAGGAACATGCCGGAAGAAAGGTATGTGTACCTTGAAATGGACGTATTTCTACCAAACAGACCTATGTGCAGGTGAGAAATATGGGGTGTGCTCATTACTTAGTTCTCTGGCCGTAAGAGTGAATGAAAATAATAAAGCGCCAGTGACGTCAGCGGCAATGAAGAAGCCAAAGAGCGACGGGGAGATCGTCGTCGGGGCGCTGTAACTCATGAGCCCTGTCCACAACGCTCTCTTGCCATGCCCGCGGCTCATGAATACCGCATTCAGTTGGCGCTTAGTTCCGTTTGACAGAATGTAAAATCCCGCTTTTCCAATTCTTCAAAAGGAATCACGCCCAATTTTAAATTGCTTCATATGCAGCTTCGACGAGCACACCCCATATTTCTCACCTGCACACAGTTCTGTTTGATAGAAATACGTCCAAACACGCTCTTTCACATTTTTTTTTTCCTTCTCCGAACTATTGGGTAGTGGATTTCAAATTTTCAGGATCTAGGCTGAAAGATTAGCTTCTAGTTAGACCATTTGATATCCACTTATATTGTTGGAAAACAATTTCGAACATTTAAATGGGGTTTTTTTTTTTTTTTTGGAAACTCTGTACTTTTTATGAATGCTTTCTTCAGGCATCTTCCTCAATTGAAAATCTTTGAAATAAAACCCAACATTCTAAAGTTCAATTATTTTAACAACTTTTTCCACAACAGCATACTTGTATGGACTTGAAAATCAGATAAAAATCAAAGATAAAGATTATATTTTCAAAGCCACAGAAATCCTGAATAGAGGGCTGAACAACACTATACCCAGATTCAGTGGCGGGGCGTGTTTTGAGATTAATCGACATTTCCCCATTACGAGCTGTGGTAAATAATCAATTATTAAGGTTCAGTTAAGTTAAGGGATAGTTTCGAATTTCCTCTGACTAGTGAGTTTTTTAAATTTTATTTTAGCTGTTGACCTAGTCTGGTACTTTTTAAAATAATTGATTATTAAGGTGTTCGCTGCAAACACCCTATTTATCGATGCTTTTCCACAGGTTTAAATGGCCGATCAATCGATACATCGCAAAGCATGCCACGCCACTGCCCAGATTGCATTGTAAAATGGCAGATGCCTTGAAGGAAAGCAACATAATTCACTGAGAGGTGTAAAAAAAGGATTTACTTTACAGTAAAGAAAAGAAAAACAAAGAAGAACAATTGAATCAATTTAAATTATGTATGTCGAGGATAAAAAATTAACAATTCTTTTAGTAACTAAGTCGATTAAAATTGGAAGAATATCAACTAGGAAAACACAGTCAGTTTTGGTCATGATGACGTACGTGAGTTTTTTCATTCCCATTGAAAAAACCGAATTACTAGGATGAAAATAAATAACTTAAATATGAAGGATCACAGAGGACAAATAAATCAATGTACACTTTAACAAAAATTACATGGAGTATTGACGCAAAACTATTAGAGGCAGTATTACATGTACGCATAATCTTGAACGTCACGAGTGCTGTTGACTCACTCTTTGAAAGATACTGATCATTTTTTCATGCTTCATGAAAAACTTGGAAAATCAAAAAGAGGAATGCTCTTGTTATGTTATTGTTATAAATATATATCTGTTGTCAGCTTGTATGCAGATACTGAAATGCTCTAGGGAAGAATTATGAATACTATATGCATTCTGACGCATGTGTATTTTCAATACAGCGTACACTATTGTCAAAACGTTTCAATTTATTACAACTCATGTAGATTGTAGCCAACATCTAAAAATGAGGGAAACTGTGAGGCTATGAATTTGAGTAAGAGGGCATATATATCTTCTAATTGTGAGTCATAGTCGAATTGACAAAAGAGACAAACTTAGAATTATCAGAATGGCAACAAGAAAACTAAAGTCATGCCACAGTTCAAAACGAGGGTCATTACCAGTACTGGATATTTCATGATAGGTCTAACCTACATGTGACATTTTCTTTGCCACAAGAAAAATAACAAGCAAAACACATTTCCTGAAATACCAAAACAAGTGACTACAAAAATTGTGTATCTTGGAACGGTTCACAACCTCTTCCAGTTTTCTGAAAACGGTATAAATAGTCCATAAAAGGAATAATGCAGAGAAAAAAATATAGACACTTGCTTCTCCAAACTTAATTTCACCCTACAAACCACATGGTGTGTGCATACCATCACCCATGCAGAAATATCCGAAACACTGATAAAAAATGTTCAAATTTAGAATATTGGCTGAAAAAAAGGGTCCTTTGATGTCTACTGATTCTTTATGACTCTTTCTCACCTTCTTAACCATTAGAAGTTTGCAAACCCCCTAAATGAAGCTTGTCTCAGTACAGTTTTTGATAAAACTACACTCAGCTTACTCCCTTAGACGAAACTCCTTTTGGAGACTGGAGGATTTCATGGGCGGTTTTCAAAAAATTCATGTTTTCAAACATCAACATTCGTCAAAAAAGCATTCAGAAAAAGTTAATTCCTTAATACTTCCTGTCCGTGGAATGTTTTCCACAAAAAAATTCCGAGTATTCTTCAGAAGAATTTTAGAGGGCAAATTTGAGCATTAGAAAAACTTAAATTATTGTTGAGATACATTTTTGCAAATTAAGGTTCTAGTTCTCTCGTCTATCAAAGAGCAAAAGGATAAACTTGAAATATCATGACTGAACTATATTGATGGCTAAAGTCCAACACAATGTATCAGAGTAAAAGATATTGAGAATTTCTATCTAAACTTTTTTCATCGTCAGAGAAGTAATGAACACTTAGTGATTTCTTATTGCACAGTAAAAATTAATTTCTGCTTATTTCAGACAGTAGTCTTATGTGCTAGACTTTTTTTCAACCCATTCACCTGCTAGCATTTTTTTGTCTACCACACTCAGCATTGCAAGTAACCAGGATGGCAATAGAGTGCCCTTGAATGATCTTTAGAGCAATACCCATGGCACTGTCTATTGAGCATTCAGACAAACACAACCAAAACAATTGCCCATGAACAGAGCAAGTTAACTTGATGCACAATTCCTTCATAATGGCCCTGACAATTAAACTAATCTATGAATGGGTTGAGAAATTCGTCGAGAACACAAACTTTAAAGACACCTTAATTAACATACAAGTTCTTGGACTAATTCAGATAATACTTTAAGATATGGTGAAACATGGTACTTATTGACTCGAAATTCATGCATAATTTGTCAAAACCTCAGAGCCTGCGCAATTTTTGATTGACATGGGCGAGACTGACATTTTTGCTCGTATTGAAGAAAAAAAATAAGATTAGTTGTATATAGTACAAAAAAAATTACACGTAAAGTGAAAATATATATGAGTAGAGGCACATAAGAATAACGACTTTTAAAATCTTAAAATTGGTTCAACAGTTTTGGAATTTAAGGAGCAATGATGACTTTCAATCAACATTGACTACAAAAGACTAGACAGTTACTTGCTGCTAGCTTACTTTATGCTTCGCATTTTGACTTTCTAGGTAGATTGGTGTTACGTTAGCAGGTTTGTACACCCTGTAAAACAAAACAAAAAATGACAGCTGAGATTATCATTGAGAAACAAATTTTAAAAAAATAAAATTATGCAGTGGTCAAAATTAAATGATTAGTTTTGGAAATGAGCTGTGCTAGCACAAGTTCTGTCACGGAACACTGAAGTGTTCTCACGATTCACGGTTCGTTTCAGAGGGAGGTAAATAAAATAGTGTTGCCCACTCAAAATTCCTTCGGGATCTTGAAGTAGAATGCATACACAGTCATTTAAGCCTAAAGTGAAAATATTCTATCGAGCTCTTCGAAAATAAAAGCGATTTTTGTGTTTTTGGCGCTAAAATGGCCTTCAAAAACGATCAATGATTCAATTCCGATGGGTTGTGCATATGCAAAATGGTACATGTATGATGAAATCTACGTATTTTTGGACCAAGAATCGATTGAGCAGGGTCCCGAATCGGTTCGAAGCTTCATTGACCGAAAAATGGGCCTTTTTTTGGATTTTAGGGATATTTTGGGCCCATTTTTTCCAATTTTGGCGTGAGAAAACCTGTGCCGTCATGGGTATTGATTATTAGGTAATTTCGAGCGAGAAATTGAATGCGCTTGGTCCCGAGTCATTCCGGGGCTTCTTAGGCCGAAAAATTTTTCTCGACTTGGTTGGGTTAAGATTATTGGTTTGACCTAAAAAGGAGGGAAAATAGTTATTCTGCATATAAATATTATAAATCCACAAGAGGAGTTCATTTTTCGAGTCCAAATTTATACCGTCTCTTCATAAAGCGCATACGATTTCTCGTCAGAAGGTATTTGAAAAAGAGAAATTGATGTGTATGTGTGTGAACCCGTCAATCAGTGCAGATCAGCATGTGTGCGCACTGATATCATTCTTCACAGCGCATGATCAGATCTGAGATATGCATCGTGCTTTCATGCAGGAGCTTACACAGTGGACTGGCTGAAGGAGGCCAAAGGTCATCAAATTATAGAAAAGTTTCTTGTTACTTATTCAGGAGTCTCATTTTAAAGTCAAAGAAAGGCCAATTTCAGCATCCAGTTTGAACATAAAAGACAAAAAATATTTTCAAAGCTCTTCCGGAGCTCCACCTGGGCCTACTGCGTATTCTTGGATTAGGAAGCCCCGGAGTGACTCGGGACCAAGCGCATTCGATTTCTCGCCCGAAATTACCTAATAATCAATACCCATGACGGCACAGGTTTTCTCACACCAAAATTGGGAAAAAATGGGCCCAAAACATCCCTAAAATCCAAAAAAAGGCCCATTTTTCGGTCAATGAAGCTTCGAACCGATTCGGGACCCTGCTCAATCGATTCCTGGTCCAAAAATACGTAGATTTCATCATACATGTACCATTTGCATATGCACAACCCATCGGAATTGAATCATTGATCGTTTTTGAAGGCCATTTTAGCGCCAAAAACACAAAAATCGATTTTATTTTCGAAGAGCTCAACAGAATATTTTCATTTTAGGCTTAAATGACTGTATATGCATCCTACTTCAAGATCCCGAAGGAATTTTGAGTGGGCAACACTATTTTATTTACCTCCCTCTGAAACGAACCGTGGATTACCTTTGATTGAACTTTGCACTGTGATCTCCAACGGTTACTTATACAGCCACTGCCACTATGCTAGTGACCATTGCTGCTCATAATTTAGATCAAAACACTACTTTAATTTGACAGAATTTTCTATTTAGGAAAAACAATTACTGGTTAATTTGTAAAAACACTTTCACGCACAGGGAAATTAAGGGTACACACATTGTTTCTAAACTGAGCTAGGAATTGTAGATTCAAATTGCAAAATGTAGTCCAATTTTCAGTTGATCTTAACCGCTTACAATGCACCTCAGCTGTCTCATAGATGGATACTTGTATACTCGTCAAATAGTCTATCTTCGATTCAAACAACCCTTTTACAGACCACTAGATTTGTATAATTATAAAGGGGCTATTCAAGTTTTACGTGAGCCATTTTGGCCAACTTTTTGATCCATTAAGCTACTACATAATAAGTTAACATCTCACCCCCACCCCCTTCGAACTAAGTAAGCCTGGCCTTGAATTTCTCTGAAAAAATAATGGGAAGAATCTGGAAAAAGGCCAAAAAATTTATTTTTAATGGAAATCATCCTGTTCATGTTTTTGAAATGAAAATGTGGAGTGAAAGTGTTCTTAGAATTGACCAAATAAGTTGTAAAGACTATTCCAAGATAATTTTCGGAATGAAGATATTTCCATTACACACTAATTGAAAATGGATTTATAAATTCTTGCTAAAAGCAGTGAATGAAAACTTATTAGATTTTTGTTAATGAGAGGGTGACTTGAAAAGAGGAATTGATATACTTACGAGTATTCAGAGTTAGGAACACCTATCACCAGCAGCTCACTTTTCTTCATCCTAAGCCGCCACATACTTTTGTGATAGCCACGAGCGTCCAAGTCCCAGATTTTGAAGCACTAAATTGAAATACAAAGAACTTAGTAATGTGTGAACTTAGCACAACTCATATTATTCATTCATCCTGAAAAATACTTGATACTTGTTTACCAATTTCAATTAATATGTGTATCAGAGGAACTTCGGGAAAGCCCCTCAATTAATCATGGGTGCAAAAACTCCCCGATGATACTATTAAAATACGACAAGGCCAACTTGCAATTGCGTTGAAATCTTCTTTTTCTTTCTTTTTAAATTGTGATGAAATTCACATGTATTTCGAAAAATTGCAGTGGATTTTCCTCGTTTCCTGCAAAAACGCAGCAACTTGAGCATAAAGTACAGAGGAAAAAGTCATAGCTTTGAAAATTTTGGGAGAAAAACTCGGTTTTTTAAATGGGAAAACCAGTTAGAAAAATGTAGAGGCTAAGAACTTTCTACACCCCTGTGCTTAATTTTGAGAGACAGCAGTAATAACAAACAGGTCTAACAGTTTGAAGGTTTAGCTTGAGGTTCCCAGTCAAGAATCTCTGGAAAGGTTTAGTCCAGATTTAAAATTAAGTTTCAGGTTGTTTCGGTAAAATTACAAAAAGACAAAGAGATCTTGTTGATTGATAAAATGCAATAAATGTTTAAATCTACTCAAACAAAGATTTAAAACTGCTAAACTGCTTAAAATGGAAACAAAGAATTACCTTAGCAACTTCCAACCATGTTTGATGGTCCTTCGGTGCTTCCATTTTGATATACATAATAAATACACTGTCCTGTAAGAATAAAAAGCCAAGAGTTAATATTAGTAGCCCCTAAAATATGGACGATGAACGACATTTCTGTGACCCCATCTTAATAATTTTCAATGAACCTGCATAAAAATGCAAGTAAAATTGCTTCGAAATGGATATAATAGCTCTTATGATGTGTTGCAGAGCGAAATGAAATGATTACTAAAGAAGGATAGCCTAAGCGGTTTTGTCAGTCCTCCAACTGCACTGGGCACCATGCGCAAAATGCACTTAAAAACTTGGAGGGCTGACCAAACATGTTGCATAAACAAGTCACAAGCAATACTTTGCAAGCATTACTCTCAGTACTATACTTCACTTCTATTTTCTTTCTGAATAAATTATCTTTTGGATTAATGACCGGAAAATTTTATCCTGCTCTTAGTTTCTGACTTAAAATGGCTTCTTTGCTCCTGTCCCAGTACCCATGCTTCAAAATTTAAAAAATAAAAAATATGCTTTGGGTATGATGGGCTAAGAGTCACCATAAGTTGAAATAATTAGGGAACACTATTCCTCTCTTTTTTTTCTTCAATAGACCACCAAACAAGGTACAAAATTAAGCACTCTAATACGTATCTCTCGACCAAAATTTCACATAGAACACGATTCAAGGAGCAAAAATTACTGAAACTAACTCCTCACCAAGATATTCCATGTTTTTGGACGTGTGAATTCAAACCTCCTGCTCATGAAAACTCAAGGGTCTGCGTGAGTCAAATAACACACTAGACGTTACTATGGCAGTCCCTGCAATACGAAATTACAGTAGCCTCAATCATTAGGCTTTGGCTCAGCCATAGTCATTTTTTTTACACTTTGAACAATAAAAGGTGAGAAAGGAACAATGCTTGATTGAGAAGCCTGCCAAAACTCTTGTAAGGTGCGATTTGACTCCTGTAGAGTATTGAGTTTCTTGTGACAAGGCAATTCAAATTTACCGCAACCAATGAACAATAAAAACGTTAATATCTTAGTTAGGAGTTAATTTCAGTAATTTTCAATGAGAGAATCATGCTCTGCGTGAAATTGTAGTTCACAAAAATGTAATCGAGTGCTTAAATTCGTACCTTGTCTAGTGGTCCATTTAAAAAAATATAAAACTTTAAACTTGTAAACTTATTATTAGAAATCATCATTAAAATTTTTATCTTCATTGCTCTGTGCCCGGTTATTTTATTTGACCTGAAAAAAGGACGTATGTGATTGTTTTGAGCAAAAATATTTGCATGATTTTTTGCAAAATCTATTTGGCAAGTTATACATTTCAACGATTAATTTGGGCCCCTCGCATAGTTTTATACATTATGATAGGTAATATATGTATGTATGCAAAAAATAATTTTGGCCCCTAGAAAAGAGCAGATGGCTCCTAAAAGTTAGGTTTGCCATCGAAGATGGCACCTGAAGTTTCACCCAGAAGTTGAAGCCTGAGTTATTTCCATATCCGAATTATTTAAGGTGTTGGCGATTTCTCCAATGGCATCACCGGAGGGTTGTTAAACAACGTTTTATTTGCAAAATTCACCAAATTTTACAATGAGTTCCCCCACTTTCCAGTTCTTCCAGACTGCTCGAAATCCTGATGATAATTTAGCAAACAGGAGACAATTCTTTTTACTATGGGTGATTTTTTTAGTTATCACTTTAACTTTGATCCATGAAGCTTAATTTCTGTTAATATTGATCAAATTTTAGGAGCAACATAGATACATCGTTGTGTATGAAACGAAAACTTACTTTAGAATCAGGCAAGAAGTTCTCTTCACAAGGAGACTTGCTATGGTCCAGTATCACACCTTTTTTGATCATTTGAATGACTAATTTCTCATAATTATCTTTCATAACACTGTAAGCAGAAATAATGGATTAGTAAGTGAAATGAAAAGGTTTGTATTTTTAAAAGTACAAGAACCTTTCAATGTCTGGGCAATATTTTCAATTCTTACACAGAGCTGAGCTTTTTAGACATGTATTTTAAACAGTAATGTGTTTGATTACATTAAATACTTCTAAAGAAGATCAAACACACTCTGAAAAAGCTTTGAAACTAAACTAAATCATGTATTTGAGTTGTTATCAAAAAAAGAGCAAGATTTAAGCATGTTGATTTTGTTGGAAAAATTGTGTTATGCTAATATATTTTCCGTTTTTGATTGTCATTACGTAAAGTATAACTTATGTTTGAAGCTAAAAACAAACGAAAGAAAACAAGGCTATAGACACAGAACAAAAACGAAGATTTTTACAGTGTCCCAACAGACATGCCTCAGATTTTTGTTTCATGTTTTTGGCCTTGTTCATTTGGCTTGTTTTTCATTTTTGCTGAAGTTGAACACCTTTATTAAATGCCGCAATTCAAGCTTTATTTTAACATGAAAATGGAAAGCTCTGGATGCATTACAAAATCTAGTATATCTACAGCATTACTCTCTACTTGACAATGTCTTCTGTGTAACAGTGTCAATGTGGCTTCCTCTGATAAATGTAAAAAACTTGGTTGTGTGTGTAACAAGAAGAATCTGCTTTTTCCAAAACCTGTTGAAAAATTGATTTTGCATGATGTGTACAGACTTTGGAGAAAAAATTCCCCGACTTTTCTAGGTTTTGTCTGACAAAATTTCCTGACTTTTCACATTGACAATTCGGGAGCATAGAATTGAGAGTGAACAATTTTTGGCATTGATTTCACTGCAAATGATAGAAAAATGGAAACTGTTACCTTCAGATATTAGGAATTCAATGAGCTAATATCATAATTCCTCATTGGAATTTTATCCTCTGATCAGTGGCGTGGCATGCTTTGCTATATATCAATTGATCTGCCATTTAAACCTATGAAAAAGGATCAACGAACAGGGTGTTCGCAACGAACGCCTGAAAAATCGATTTTTAACAATAGCTTCAAATGAAGAAATATCGAAAATCAATCATTCACGCCTCGCCATTGCCTCTGATCACTATGCAGAGTGTAGCTCAACAGTACTGAATTCCGCACTTCAGAGGCTCAGTCTGCTTGTGTGGACAGAGTTGATGATTTTTCAGATTTTAAATTTCACCATTTCAGTCTTTTTCATAAAATTCCTAGACTTTCCCCTGATTTCTCTGACCTGATGAAATTGTCTGACATTTCCCAGTTTTTCAGACCTATAGACAGTGTTTTTATTATATGAAGTTAAGAATCAAGATATGAGAACATATCTTTCTAGATTTTTTACAAACCTTTCTATATTAGATAGTTTCACGATAGGCTGCGTGTTGAAAGAGTGAGTTTTGAAATAGGTGTCTTGGAAATAAGAGTTCATATTGAGACCCAGCGAGCCAAAATGATAAGTTCGTGAGACCTCCGGAATAATGCATTCTCTCCCTTTGCGGATTTCAGGCATTCTCATCCACATGTCCCAATCCCACATCTGAAACATAGATAGATATTAGCTCTGCAGATGCTCTGTTAAATAACTTTGAATTAAGGAGAGCATTACTGGTATGTTATGATGAAACAGCAAACTAAATCCATATTTTTTAGAATTTGGTTCCTTTAAGTGATTATGAACACTGTTCCAGAAAAAATCTGTAAATTTCCTTTAACCAAAAGAAAATAAATAATAGTGAAAAGATAGAGAAGAAGGAGAGTTTCTTGTTAGACTTAGAAAATCCTTAAATAAACTGGTAGTGTAATGCACTTAATTTCCTTATGGCAACAGACAGAGAATTTCGAAAATCCTGGACACCTAGATAATCTGTACTAACTAATGTTGCTTCGTCTCTCAATACTGTTTTTAACTTAATTTAATTCATTTACATACTTGGATGGACACGAGGCGTATACTTCTTGAAGTAGTTACAATATTTTAGATCAAAATTTGTTACAAAAAACCGAGGGCTGCATTTTCTATACCACGATATTTTACAATTTGGTCTGGTCAAATTTACCTTTTCTGGGGTTGGCCATTTGACCTCAAGTTCATCCTTATACAATGATCGTTTCAAGACCCAACCTAGTCCTGGCATAGTTTCCACACGCTGAAGCTGTGTAACATCACTGCTTGTATGCTCATACCCTTGATCGTTCCATGCTGAGATGCAGTATATACTGCTGTCTTTCTCCAGCAGATTCAAAGTTTGGTTGAAATAACTGCAAAGGACAAAAATAATAACATTGGTCTAGAAAATAAAGTAAATCCAGGTATTTTTCAATGTTAATCTGACTCGAGTTACTTTTGCATGAATTGAACAAGTTACTCTCCATTTGACATAATTGAGTAATTTCTAGAAATTAGAGAAAATCTAATTGCAATTGAAAAATTTGGAGTAATTCTATAAAATCAAGGTGAAAATCTGGAGTTTTTTGCAAAACTGCAGAGGGAATTGTGTACTATTTTGCTGCAACACAGCAATTTGTGCATATAGGACAAAAAAAGTGCATACTTCGAAAATTTTAATGACTAAGGGGTTTTCAAAAAGGGAAGGCTAGGGAATTTCCAATCCAACATCCTGCCATGGTGTACCATTAATGAACCACTAGACAGTGAGGAAATTTAAACCAATGACGTGGCGTGCTTTGCGATTTATCAAAGATGACCGAGTGGGGTCGAAAAGCTTCGGCAATGTGTTAACACACTTAACAAACTAATCACAGCTAATGGCCATTCTTCTTCTTTATTCATTATTTATTGCTGTTATCCGCACGATGTTTAATTATTCAAACCTATGGAAAAGGATCAATAAACAGACCTTGATAATCCATTCTTTACCATAGCTTCAAATGGAGAAATATCAATAATCGATCATTCACGCCACACCATTGATTTAAACTTTCTGATATGTACATGGTTCCTCACCAAAATTTAACGTAGAGCACGATTAGCGCAGCAAAAATTACTGAAGTTGACTCATAACTAAGATATTAAGGTTTTTAGTGAAATGATCATGTTAATTTCAAATTCGTTGCTTGCAAGACAAACAATAGTCGACTTGAATCAAATAGCGCACTAAAACAGTTTTGGAAGACTTATCCTTATTGTAATCCAGCAATGTTCCTTCTCCTCCTTATGTTATTCAAAGTATTAACAACGTGCAACAGCTGACCCAAAGCACCAATATTGAGGTTGCCGTATTTTCATACCACAGAGATTGTTACAGTAACGTTCAGTGCGCAATTTTACCTGCGTATGATTTTATTTTTTCATGAGCGGGAGGTTCAGACTCACTTATTGAAAATCGTTGAATATCTTAATTAGCAATTAATTTCAGTAATTTTCGTTACAAGAAACCGGTTCTGCGTGAAATTTTGATGAGGGATCATGAATCAGAATGTTTATATTCGCACCTTCTTTGGTGGTCCATTCAAAAAGAAAAGGCATTGAGAAGAAATATACTTCCATTTCTTATTCTACTTTTTAGAGCTTGTCAAAGGCTTCTTTGATTCATGCGTTCATACAGTCCAAAATACTGCTCATTGCAGAGGAACTCTTTTGTATGCATTACCTACACCCTAGATATGTAAGGTATGTACTCTCTACAAGTATTTCATTGCAAATAAATTGACCAATAGAAAAAAGTAGCAGGAGTTTGTACCTCTTAAGAAAATCTCTGGGAAAATGTTTGAGGCTCTGTCTGAAAAGAGCGACATAACATACCTGAAAAAATCGGGCGAAACATCTAAATCCTCCTCCAACACGATGGCGTATTTTGCTTTAGGAAACAGGCTGAAAGTGGCAGTCAAGGAAGCCTTGTAATGTTGTGATATGCGTGCATTTTTTACTCCGATCGGAGTGTGTTGAATGCCTCTTAGACCAAAGAGTTTTGTTACTTGAAGCGGCTCATCGAAATACCCGTCAATGAAGACAGTTATCATGTCTTTATTGACACCTTGTGCTGAAAGTAGCGATTGAAGCATTCTGGAAAAAGAGATACAAGATGGTTATTGATTTAGCAAGAGAATTTTCATATTCCTTCTTTAAGAATTACATACAGTATGCAAATATTTGGCGTCAGCTTGATTTCAATATTATGTGATACGTCCCTAACGGCTCCTCAAGTATGATGAGCTTCGAGTGAAATTACCCAGGATTGCCATAGACTTTAAAAAATGAAATTCTCTGACATTTCCTTGATTTTTCTCACATATTTTGGTGGGATTCCTTGACAATTGACCATATGTATGCTGGATGGTTAAAAAGACACATGTAAGTAGAAATAGTTTTCGAGCAAAATTTTTTGTTAAAACGTCAAACCTATTCTAGAATGCAAATAAAGGTGACTTAACAATTATACCCTGGCATTTTTTCGTTTTCCTTGACATTTCAAGTTTCCCCTGACTTTTTAAAATTCCCTGACATTTCCTGGTTTCCCCGGGTTGTGGCAACCCTGTTTACCATTGACATTGTTTTTTCAGTGGTTGGACTGATGATAAACGACCGAAATAGATTGAATAGAAGAGGATTATTAATAAAAAAAGAAGAAAACAAAATGTACCTATTCATACTCTTCTAAAAAATGGAAAGATTGAGCTTGAATCACCAACTCTGAGATCCAACGAGAGGTTATTGTGTGCGATACAGAATCTTCAAAACGACAGAGCTTATCAGAATGTAACCCAAAGACATAAAGACGGAGCGCTCGTATCTAAAAGCACGGGGAAAAAGTGAAGCTAGGTTCGGCGCTGCGCGCTTGTGTGAGTGTGTAAATGAGCGCGGGAATCCTGGGCGGCAAACGGAAATTTGATTTGAACTTGTCCTCTTGATTTTTCCACATTTCTTCTTTGAAACGTATTTTAAATTCCTAAAACGAATATACTAAGAAAGTTCGGTCTGCGTCCTAATATAATACACCTACTTTTGCTCGGTAACAGGCAGTAATCTCAGATAAAGTTAGTTTTTCTTCTGCTCATGGTGGTTCTGCAGGTTCAAACAGGCCGTTACAGTTCTAGATCAACGTTACTCCCAAATGAAATTAATCGGTCGACGACGGACTGAAACTAACCTAAAGTTAAAAAATATGAGTGTGTACCTGAATTTGGGCAAAAATCAACCTAAAATACTTTGTTTCCGCAATTTTATTTATTAGTTCCCGCCCTACATTTGAATTCAAACTTGTCCCGATTTCGCCGCCAATCCTCTAGCCAATAGTAGAGGTGATTGAAAAGAAGCTCTAGAAGCTTCATTTTTTGCTTTTAGTGCTCCGTCTTTATGTCTTTGATGTAACCTTATATTGAGCTTGAGAAAAACTTTCCGGAATGGATTTGTTGCAGATTTAACCCTCTCATTACCAGGCTAGGTTTTGTGTGCACATGCCCCACAATGGGAATTGGCTATTACACAAACAAACGAACACTTTGTCAGGAAGTGTCTAAAGTTAGCATTCTCGTAGACAGATGTGGCTGCAAATATGATTACATCTGTGTAGCAGTTGTTGAGCAACTGCTGAAACGTTAAAGGAGGTATGCAGTTACAATGAACACAGATGCTGCCTTTGCAGTGATGAATGGGTTTATGCTCAGCCAAAACAATATCGTTCAATTGAAAAATACATACATTAAGCCTCGTGCTCTGCGACGCCCAATCGCCATTGCCCCCCATCCTCCCAGAGATCATCAGGCAATTGGCACCTTCTAATCTCCTTCTCCATCCCTTGTCGCCAACCTTTCACGGGACATCCATGCCTTCGCCTTCCAGAAGGAACCCAATCGAAAACCTGCTTGGGCAACCGATCTTTTGCCATCCTTCGCACGTGTCTATACTAGACCAACTGCTTGGACCTGGTATCGTGCATGATGTCCTTCTCCACACCCATTATCTCGTGCACCTTTTCACTCTCGTAAGTTATGATACTCTTCACGATGACGTAGTCAATTTGCCTTTCAGTCTCCTTGAAGATACTCTGGTCCCAGAGAGCCCCATTTAGCATCGCAATAGCTTTCCTGCACATTCCAATATTAATAGCCCGATCCAAATTTCCGTCCTTAAATAACCACACTCCTAGATATTTATACTCTTCACAGTCCTGAATTCTCCGGCCATCCTCCAGTTCAATGCTTTGCTGATCACCACCGATAACCAACTTCTCCGTCCAAATTGAAAAATAAAACGGAAAAAATCAATTCAGAATGAAAGGCAAATACCTGTAGAGATAATGTGGGCGGTTACTGGCAATAATAACGACAGGAACATCGGCCACTTGATTGTTTGGGAACTGAAAAAGGAGGAAAAAAAATGATGTAACATGGTTTAGTAGGCACAGAACCACCTCATTTGACAGGGAAACTGTCAGTTTCAGGTATCAGTAAATAGAAAATCAATACATTAGGGGGTCACAGTGATAATTGGCTTACATATTGCGATTTGGAACAACAATTTCAGTCTCATCCATAAAAATACATTTGTCTGTAGGGAAATTAATGGTACATACGTTTTTTTTTTTCTTTTAAACTGAGACAGACATTGTAGTTCCTCATTGCAAAATGTAGTTCAATTGACACATGATGAACTTGACAGAATCAGCCTAACTAAACTCGACATTACATAATTTTCTCTTATGTTGTATTTTTTAAAAATAAAAGCAAGCATGACTGAAGCTTAAAATTTGTTTAATATATTCTCCATAATCTAGAGTAAATTCATAGAAAGTTTAAAGTTTAGTTCTCAAAACAGAAAATTGTGTGAAGATTTAAAAATGTCAAGCAGTGTTTAGCAAAGGCATACTGTAAGTCTAATAGCTGCCAAAAGGACACTGGTTAAATTTTTCTGTCAATAAAAATAATCACTATTATTGGATTAATGCTGGTAAAGGCTTCAGATTTTTGGTCACAAAGGGCAGCTGGAAAATGCATTTCACAGCGTAATTTACATAGGGTGTCCCAAAAGTACTGCCCCTTTTTCCGCAGAGGGCGAAAGAATGCAGATATCAAAATGCGGTTTGTGTGAGGTTATAGTCCTAGTAATTACCTATAAAACAAGACCAAGTTGAGCTCTGTAGCTTAAAATTTGACCGAGATACAGCATTTTGAAAGTGACGTGTCAAGGTGCCGCCTACGAGATTTTCAACATTTTTTTACGGACGAACCCTAGGACGAACAGACACGACGCATCTGCAGGTGGTCCTTTAAGATCCGGTGCAATGAATTTTTTGAGATGTCAAGCAACACCTGAAACTTACGCAAGGATAAATGACGGTCTCCTAAAAACAGCAGCAACGGTACTGATTAATTCGTCTGTGGTGGAGGTAGACGGTCGACCCGGTTTCGCGGGACTTTCCGTCGATTCGCGGCCGCCAGAAAAAGATTTAAACCAACGACCAATGCTACTTCTGTCCAAACAGTCGTCTTTATACACGCCTTTCATTTCATTAAAAGTGTTTTTTACCGACATTCCTCGACGAAAACAATAACGAATAACGTGGTGTTGTTCTTTTCTTAATTCGGTACTCATCGCGAAAGAAACTTCCAAAACGACAGAGGAATGAACTCAGATTGACGTGCCGGGAAAGCTTGACCAACTTGGACGGCACTAGCGGACACTTTCAATCCTGTCATTGGTCTGGATAGGGGCGCTTACACGTTGCCAAATGCCGCCTAAAACACAGTGTTGCCATGTTTCTGGCCGCTTCTTCTTCTTTTTAAAATCGTTTCATTCTTAAACTTGGTTTTTTCTTTCGTAAAAAATGTTGAAAATCTCGTAGGCGGCACCTTGACACGTCACTTTCAAAATGCTGTATCTCGGTCAAATTTTAAGCTACAGAGCTCAACTTGGTCTTGTTTTATAGGTAATTACTAGGACTATAACCTCACACAAACCGCATTTTGATATCTGCATTCTTTCGCCCTCTGCGGAAAAAGGGGCAGTACTTTTGGGACACCCTATGTATATGAGGTGCAGGTGAAAAGAAACGCCTTCAAGCTTATAACTTAAGAGCAATCTAAGATTTTGGCAAAAACTAAAAATATTCTGAAAGACGACGTAATTACATCCTATCAGCCTACTGGTTTAAAAAATTGAACAATTTGTTGGAGAGGTAATTGCATCGTCTTTCAGAATATATTTAGTTATTGCCAAAATCTTTAGATATTCTTAAGTTATGAGCTTAGAGGCGTTATTTTCCGGCTGCGCCTTGTACATTACTAGATAATGCTGTTCCATTCTATGAATAATGTTTTATTAAGCTGTCAATTCTATTGATTGCGTTTCTAATGAACAAAGCTGGATGTTGTTTGCATCGAGGGCAATAAAAGTAATTCACCTGTTCTGGCTGAAATGTTAAGGAAGCAGGATCATTGCAGCAACAAACACTGCCATAACCCTCGATGTTGCTGCAAAATTCTTTTCTGCGAACATTTTCTTCAGATTCTGGCCAATCACATTCACTTTCTGCAAAATGAGGAGAAAAAATAATAGTATACAGTATGTCAATGGCCATAGTGCAGAACCATGTATCTCCATTGCGGTGTTTAAACATTTCTGCTCCTATTTTATTTTTTTGAAAAGAAAAAGGCCAACTTCATAGCTTAAAATTTATACAGAATATTCTACTGACGGAGAAGGAAAATCAAGGAAGTTTTTAAGAAATTACGTTTTATAGCTTTCTAAAGAAAAAATTAAGTATGACAGGAAGTCTGCAACACCATAAACAGAGCTACCTGCTTTTGCATTTTGGCCTTCAATATAATAGAAATTGGTGCCTTTTGTAAGCACCAATTTTTATGATAAAAAATTTATACTGAAATTTGTGCCATTCTCTGTCGCAAAATTTAACATAAATATCCTCTTGATGATAAGTTTGTTCTAGGCAAGACGCTCTAATTGAAATGTTTTAGAAAAAATTATATATTTTTACTTATATTTGTTAGAAAAACTCACTCCCAATGAAATGGAAGTCTGATAAGAAGCACAAAGAGGGATATTGGTAACTTGTTAAAATCTTTTTAAAATGTTCCATGGTTTCTAACATAACAAGACATCGCAAAATAAACCTAATGACGACGGCATAATACAAGGATTTTCCAGAGAGTACGTAACCTTTATTTTAGGGCCATAATGCCCCAGTTGCGTGGCTCTAAAATAGGAACACAAGAGAATAAGAATGAGAAAATGGGTTAGACAAGGCTAGATTATTAAAATACTAAAAAAGCAATCGTTACAGTCTTTAAAGCCGTCACAGGTTCATTTTCAGTTGCTAAAACAATAAAAATTAGTCCAAATTGAACAGCAGAAATCAGACCAACTGGAGACCATCACCAAACAGACCATCAAGTCGCCAATCACTTTTAAACTAATTTGTTTTTGTAGCTGAAAATGTGCTTATGATGATTTAAAATGCCTTGCCTTTTTACTGTTTTAATATTTTAGCCTCATCTAACTAATTTTTTATTCTAACTCGTATTTACTTCCAGGTAGGTAACTCTTGAGGACATAAAAATTCTCAGCTCCTTTAGGAAGCTTATACTAAAAATGGTAACTCATTGTCAGTGTCCTAAAAATTTTGCACAGAGTACAGGAGACACTAATCTTAAGGTGATTCGTCAAGCTCAAAAGAAGTGGTCGAACTGGCATGCGATATATCGCATCTTTTAGGTCAAAAATCTCGGCAGATTTTGAATTTTCAGTAAAGAAAAGGACGATAGCCCCTGCGCATGAGCCTAAAGAATCATTCTAAACCTTAAAATCGGCAAAATTCAGAGAAATTAAAGCAGGATAGTGTTTGGAAAAAAACCTCGCATTAGATTCAGCTATCGATTTCCGTATCGAATGCGAGGTTTTTTTCCAAACACTATCCTGTTTTCATTTCTCTGAATTTTGCCGATTTTTGGGTTTAGAATGATTTTTCAGGCTCATGCGCAGGGGCTATCGAACTTTTTTTTGCTGAAAATTCAAAATCTGCCGAGATTTTTTACCTAAAAGATGCGATATATCGCATGCCAGTTCGACCACGTCACTTGAGCTTGACGAATCACCTTAATATGTAAAATTGCAACCAGCAAACAATTGCAAAAAAGCTGGAAGTTTGGCGTGGTACCATCTGGCATCTCGCAAAAAATGAAGTTCAGGACAAGTGTCCATGTCTCGGTATGTAGCATCTTTGATTTTACCTGGCCTGAAAACAAGATTCCCGGGTCAGCGGGAAGGAGGCTTTGCACTAGAATCTCTGCCATTGCTGCGAGGCTCAGTAAGTGTCATTGCAAGGGAGAGATTTTGACAATTTACTGTCATACAAAAAAAGAGAGAGTAACAGCAAGTTGAGACAATCAAAGGTCTAATTAGAAGCATGCTTTCTTAAAGTTTGGTCATGAACTTCGTGTTGCAGCATTTGAGCCTTGCTGCCAACTCTTAAACTTTAATTTTTAAAAAAAAATTCCATTACCTTCAAAAGGAACTAGGGGAACCTCTGTTTTTAATAAAACTGCGGCACCCCATGAACTGAAATCTGAACTCTTGCTGTACGTTTCTCCAAACATTTTACCCCCTTTTTGTGTGACCATAGCCCACATATCTCTCCAACCAATTATCTGGACATGCTGAGAGCCGAGCCTTTTAATCAAGTCTCTTGCTGCCTGCTTCATTTGAAATGTGCCTTCATCCTGAAAGTGAGAGCAAATTATGTTACAATGTTTCAAGAAATTAGACCGCATCTGATCAAATAGCAGTAATAATTTGCTAGAAGTCCATAGTTTGCTAGAGGACAAAGCTAAAACGGAAAAAATATTTCAGTCCCTCAAGAACATTACAAAAACCAATAGAGCTCCTTGAATCTATTTTCTGGTTTTTCTTCCTTTCCAAAAATAGTATTAATGTGCTTTACTTTGCATTTTACAAACTTTTTCTTTTGCTCCGCATTCTACAATATTCTCCATTTTCAATTTTTTACTGTTATCATATCTAGTTCATTGTTTCAATTTCAAAAAGCAGTCTCTGTATTCCCCCACAACTAAATAAAAAATACACCAGGCTTCAAAGTATAGACTTGTTCAAAGGAAATCACAAGTCCCGATGTCTTCCATTATCCGCATCAAAATAGTCGCAACAGGTGACAGTCAGGGAAAGGATTAGGCTTTCAGTTGGGTCAGCATAGTTGACATTTACGGGCTTTGAGGTGATTCGACGGTTGCCATTTTTTGTGTCAGAGCGACGAGCGATATATCGCATCAATTCGTTTCATAATTTCAGGTGCTTGCCATTTTTTTCGAATTTTGAGATCGCACTTCTGTTGTCATGAGACTAAAGAATTCATGTACCAAATTTGACAAAGAAATTCAACGTATTAAAGGCACGGTTTTTTTAGAGGAAAAATTCTGCCTTTAATACGTTGAATTTCTTTGTCACATTTGGTACATGAATTCTTCAGTGTCCTGACAACAGAATTGCAATCTCAAAGTTTGAGAAAAATGACGAGTTAGCTGAAAAAATGAAACAAATCTATGCAATCAATCACCTGTCGCTCTGACACAAAAAATAGCAACCGTCGAATCACCTTAATCTTGAATTTTGTGGCGTAATTAGTTGCAAGGTTTATAATGGGTATACATAACTCCTGTCTACGAGTATAGTTTCAGAATGACTGTCTTAGATTGCTTAAGTCTCATTGCAAACTGAACATTTAATAATTTGTTAGTGAAGAGTCCTCATTGAGTAGACATAATTACCTTAATAGCAAAAATGATGATTCGACTATCAGACACCATATTCAAAAATAGAGCCATGGCATCGTCTTCATGAGGAGAATATGTATCAAAGACCCGCTGTGCCATTACATTACCACTTGACTGACTCAGGACGAGAACATGAATGCCTCTGCCAGTTTGCTGTCCACCATCCTCTAAAATCTGGTCATGAGAAAAAAAATAGATAAATGAGAATTGGTATTGCTGCTTTAAACATCATATCAACATAAGAAAACACAAGAACCTAGTTTAATAGAAACGTATGAAGTTGCATTTTGCAAAAAAGAATGGGTTGAAAGTAGTTTTTGAATTCAACTGGTCGTAAATTTTCCCTTGTCAAAAATTCAGCTCTGAGAAAAATATTATGAATATGGAATTAGTCTTTCAACTTTGCCTTGAACATTAAGTTTTGTAGAGGATTAAAACTTATAACCTCTTTTTCTCCATTCAAGATAAATACGACTTGGTGTTTTGGTTAATTTGGTTCACAAATAGTGATATGGTTTCTGAATTAAACTTGTATTTGTGGGTGCAAAATATTTTAAAACCTCTGCGACCAACTGGTTGTAAGATTAAATTAGAATTGTTCAAACATGTGTAAATTCTGAATTAGCATTTAACATCACATGTTTCCTCTTCATAATCTAACCCACATAAAAAACGATTTACACAACAGGAAGTTCTGAAGTCAACCCTTGAACGAGATAGTAACGAGTATACTTTTTATTACCTATTGAATTATTTTTATCACAGATCAAATGGTAGTTGAATGATACAAATGATATCATTTGTATTTTTGCCATTCGACCAATGTTAAATGTAAACAGGAGAAGTAGAATTGCCTTACGCTGTGATACTTTATTATATGAAAATTACATTTCACTTAGCCGAAGCTTTTGGACCACACCCGGTCACAGCGTAAGGCAATTTTGCTTCTCCTTTTTATTAACTTAATTAATGCTGATATGTATTCGCACGATGTTTGATTAATGTTAAATGTAAACACTTAGATCTTACATGCGAGTTGATTTCCAGGATTTTTGGAGGCCTGTGATTTGTTTTTCTTGGGTAATTGTGTGGAGAAAGTATTTAGCGTAGTGCTTTAATCCGCAACTTGTCTTCTGACCCATCAAAAAAAAAGAATTAAAAAATGTGCTCTCGGCCTCCTCAATTTTTACACAATCAACTTGCTGAGAGTTTTAGAGGATTCTAGTTTTTAGCGTTGTTTTAGAAGGAAAAAATGTTTCATTAACAAGCAGGCTTGTCCAGACTTTCTATTTTTAAGATAAAGAAAGTATGGTATTGAGTTAAGGAAGGAAGAAAAAGAGGAAGAAAGAAACCAATAATGTGGCTCGAACTGTAACACTGATGAGTGTGATCTACAGATAAAGTTTATTTGAAAAGACCCACAACATGATAGATCTATCAACATGACCCCAGCTTAGAATTCCAAACACCTGCCTGAACTGAACACTCTTCCTCGTCAGTCTTGCACTGACACTAATTAAAGCTCAAATTTTTTACTCTAATTCAGGTTTTTAGAATGTTTATAGCCTTCATTTCCTTTCAAAATAGTGGTGGAATACTGCTGGGTTAAGGAAAAGCACTGTACAAATATTCAAAAGCCGCCAAATTTCCCCCCAAAAAAAACGTGGATTTTTTTAGGAATGTTATGCATATTTTTCCTCAAAATTTTCAGATGTCATAGGTTAAATTGTGAACAAAATTGCCTAAGAAATTGAAGGAAAAATATTCAGAATTTTCACAATACATTAGTTTTTTATTGATTGAAACATGGCAATGCCTGGATGCTCACACGGCTATTTTCCTTCGCATGGCAGAATAATGTGGGGATTTTATACACGATGACAGGGTTGAATATACTAACCGTTGCACCATTTACTGAGACTGAAACTTTAGACTGACTGGAGAGTACTTCAATGCTCAGAAACCGCAGAGAGTTCTCCAAATGTCGGGATGTTTTCCTTCCATCACTTTCAATGTTCAGGTCAATATCAACTGTGGAAAGAATAATTTGTTTGAATATTAATTCACATATCCTTAAAGCTAGTGAAATAACAGGGCCTCTCTAAAGTTTATCAAGGTTGCCTCAGGGAATGGATCCCTCTGAAACTATAGCTAGAGCGAAAGTATAACGAAGACTAATAAACTATACCGCCTAACTGATAATTTTGGCGAAGAATAAAATACGCAAACTAATGATTTCAGTTTTTTTCCAATTCTATAGGGGATCGCTTTAATGACACTGTAATGTGAGAAAAATTGCAAATCTAACTTCAAAATTACAAAAATGACAAGGTTTTCTCTTTGTTCTGCAAGATTGTCAGTTTGCAGATAGGCGGTGTTATTCGTTAGCCATCTAAAAGATGTTACATATGGAAAATGGCGCAATTTTATTACGTTCCCACAGTCAGAAATTCACTCCTTAATGATCTGCTTTTAAAATTTGCCCAATATTAAGCTTCCGGCTCCAAGAAGTAATTTATGCTACAGTAACATTTAACACAGACCGTAGTTTCCCTCACAAAAAAATGTAACTACATTTCAATGTTGCCAAATCTCTTCTTGCAAATTGCATTATTACTAGGAGAATCTTTGGCATTTCTGACTGAAAGTATTAATTTTCAAATTTCACAAAGCGTCAAAGTTTGCAAATTTCTTCAGTAAAAAGACAATAAGTAAATTTTAGACTTTACTATAGCTCTTATCATGATTTTAAGACTATTTTCTATTCAAAGCAACTCTTAATTTTGCTTTGAATAAAATTCACAGGGGACCCACTGCATTCAATGTTTTGAATTTTATAGAAAAGAAAACAACAACTCAGGCGGCAATACTACAATTCTTTAGTTTTTCGCTAAAGCCAACATTTAATTTTTTTTATTGTGATAAATTCATCTTCCTCCTAATTTTTCACTCATTTGCCATATGTGTGACATTTACAAAGAAATGAGTAAAATTCTAGTTTCGACCTGAGTCTGAACAGTGATTGAATTATGGTACAGTCACAAAAGGCAGCTTTATGTCTACACACTGACAAAAAATGCAGTGTCACAAAAAACTGTCTGGTACCATTATACCATCCATCAGTCACTTTTAAGTCATGTTAACAAACGCAGAGGGCAAGAAACCTTTTGAACTCCAGCTTGATTTTACTGAATTTTGAGTTGCAGATTCTGTTTACACTTATGAACACTTTATATGCTAATGCTGTTTAGCGCTTAGGTTTGAATCGTATGAGGAGATTGTGCTTCTTGATCCTTTGGTACATACAATTAAAACTGAGCTTATGTAAAAATGGTGGTAGTGAGAGAGATGGACTAGTTACCAGAGTTTGAGGTTTCTTCCTGAAGACGATGACTTGTATCCAAAATGAAAATGACATTGATTCCGATGGTTATCAGCATAATTACTATCAGCAAGGCCTACAAAAAAAACCATAATGGTGCATTTGCTATTACTCAATATAAAAAATAAATGCAAGTTATTGAAATTGCAGAACCTCTTTGAATATAAAGTAAAAAACAAGTATAAAATGCTGAGTTTAGAAATCAACTTTTAGTTGAGATAACAGCAACTGGTCTAGTTCTTTGTCTAATATTTTTATGGCAGTCAATTAATGAATTAGAGTTTAATTTAACTTTATAATATTCTGAGTAATGCTGTGAATTCATCCAAAGCTACCTGACCAGTAAGCCTTGTCATCAAATATTATCTAAAAATTTAGCTTCCCTTCTATGTAGGGGACAGAGCCTGATTTATTGGTTCATTTGACATATCAATGGCCAAAGTGTGAAACGCCATGCCTCTGTTTGCAATGCTGCAGTTTTGACATAATTTATGTTTTTTTTGGAAAACTGGTAAAGATAATTTTATAAAAACTTCCCAGAGTTTTCCTCTCTGTTGGAAGAATATTTTGAGTGAATTTCAGGCCAGAACGTTGGCTTATTTTTCTTTCAAAAAATAAGATAGGAGTGGAAACTTCAAAATACCATTATAAAGATACATGATTTTGCAATTTAGCCGTCAATCGGATATTAAGTGAAGTCAAAACACAGCTTTTAAGTCCAACCCTTGCATGCTGAAATCAACTGTATTTAGGCGCAGATTTATCAGTATAGGTAGATCTGCAGCTACCTACAGTGAGAGATATTCAGCAAACATTCAACAGGTAGGCTCAGGCCTACGTCTCATGATAATCTTTTTACCTTTAAAGTTTTAGCTATGAGCCTCCTCCGTCCCAAAGGACGTGCGAACGTAAGAATAGCATTCTGTGGGATGTAATAGCCCACAGTGCCATTGCTTCCAAGACTTGGGTACGCTCTTTTGGGTAGATAGGTCTGAGCGATTAATTGCTGTGCATCCATGCTTCAATCATAAGCTACCAGCCAGTTCTCTTCCTGACCCGTCATTTTCTGATTGATCTATAACAAATATATCGAAAAATTATAAAAAATTGATTGGGACAATGTTACATCCTGGTTCAGTTAGGAGTAAGTATGTCTGGTAGTGGCAGGAATGGGTGCCTTAACATGTTGCTTGCTAAGCTGGTCTTTTCGATCAGGATGGAGTCTCACAATAAACACTCCCATGAGACCAGTGGCTACCGGCACTGCGTGTTCGCTTACAGTTCATGACTAGCATGGCCCCAGCAAGAGAATGCATCACTAAGTTTTCGTTCCTATGTTCGGTAGGGGGGGGGGGGAAGGGGGCACCATCATGTTGGGAGAAATAGGTGTCCAAAACACTATGGCAGGCAACATGTTAATGCATGAAATACTTAAGCCGTGACAAAATATTTTGAGTATGGCCCATGGGATCAATTCATCTGGAAAGTACAAGAATATTAATAGACGTCAAAAAATTTTAAAATCAAGAGTAAGTATTAAAAAGTACACTTTCACAGAGAGGATTAGGTATTGGTGGAAAGTTGACTCCACACTCAGCAACACAATAAATAAAATGAAATTAGTAGACATATTGTTATTTTAAAACTTTGTAAAGTTCTTGATCGAAATTATTGACCAAGAGTTGATCTTTCACTTTCCAGGGGCAGTTTTTTTAGGATTGGGCCGGGGTGGATACCGCCACCTAGAATGTTTAATGATAATTGATAGCACAATTCGACGGTGTAAGTCGGCAATCACATAACTCGTTTGCGGTGCTGAAAATCTCCACCTCTATGTTATTTTTTAAAAGGAGAACAAATTGACATCATTCCTTGAAGTTTTTGCAGAATTTTCTTCGAACAGAGAAGAAAAATCACGGCAGTTTTAAAGAATTGCCGTTGAGTAGTTTTCCGTTTAAAAAATGAAGTATGACAGGAAGTCTGCGATGTCGCAAACAGAGTTATGTGATTGCCGACTTACACCGTCGAATTGTAATTTTTAGACAATTGGATGGATACAAGTGATTGTCTGTAACCAAGAAATTGAGCCTTGAGATTTACGCGCAGATATGAGAGATATACACACTAAACCTGATCCATCCTGATAACGTCTCAAGCAAAGGTGATACATGATACTATTGGATTGAAAACAATCATCCCTCTCTAAGCACAGGTAGCGTTCTAGGGCGAAAATTTCACCAAAATATTCGTAACAATAAGCAAAGAAGATAATTTTGATTAGAAGAAGAGGTAGAATGATTCTGTGCAAATGCGGAGAGAAAAACGACGATGAATTTACCCAAAAAACATTTTGTAAGTAAATGATTGTAAATTGGTGATAACCTCTCTGTAACCATGTCAACAAGAGCCCGGAGATCGTGGAGAATGATGTAAAATAAAACTATATGACTGATCGCACACCATCACACATTCTGAAACGCCGGAAAACACTTTCATCACATAAAAAGTAAAATGAGGTAGTTGACTGGATGTTTTAGCACGTAAGAACGCATTCCTCGTTCAAAACGGGAGTAGAAAAAATGTAAACAATCGCTATCAACTTCCAAGCGTAAACAACTTTCAAAATGAGAGTTCATTGGTTGATTGCGCCGTGACGCGCCGGCGCTAATGTGCTTCAAGCGCTTCTAGCGGTTGAAAGTGCAAACAGAAGAGAGGGGAGTAAATTACGTAGCACAATGGTCACTTGGTCAAATAATTTGGAAAAAATAAGAGAAATTAAATAAAAAAAAAAAAAAAAGGTGGTAAAATAGAGCTGGATCCACATTTTTTAACGGGGAAGCAAGGCCAAAAACATCCAAAAATTTCAATCTAGTCAAAACTTCGAGCTTGCGTTCGGGTTCAGTTTTTTGACTCGAATTGAAATTTTTGAAATTGTTTGGCCTCTCCTTCACCGCATAATGGTGTAGACTAGGGTGGCCCAATTATACACGGCAAAATTTATTTTGCGAATTTTTTGGGTCTTATACTCCCTAGAACTGATCCATTTGATCAAAGTACACTCTCTGCCAAGTTTCAGCCACATCGGATAGGTAATATTAACCCGTGCCGACCATCCTTTTAATATGCGATTTTACATTGAAAAACACTTTTTCTCAGAAAAATCCACTTCCCGGAAAATTTGTAATTTCTAGAAAAAATCTGAGGTCATATTTGATCTCAGCAGAAAAAATTGAGTAGGAAAAGTTGCATTGGACTCCTCAGAAAAATTTCTCTACCCCTTGTTATAGCGCGGTGAAACATTTAGAAAACGCTAAACAAGGGTAAAATGACGGTGATACATCTCAAATAAGTACATGGGTCTGTCTCCGAAAACAAAGCTTAACATATGGTATTGGTAGACGTGTTTTCCATGTAATTTTTTACGCTAAAGCCGGAAATATTATCCATTTTTCTCTATTCCATCAGGATTTTCCGGGAAATCGATTTTCTCGTGAAAACAGGGTTTTCCGGGGAGAGAAAATTAACGCTCGAATCTAATAGATGTTTTTGATGTGCTTATTTAAACGTTGAATTCGAAAATGATAACCGTTTTCTTCTATTCTATTAGGAGTTTCTGAGGAACTCAATTTTTCAAGTAAAAAGGGGATTTTCCAGGGAGTACTCAGTACCCTGGAAAACTTGTGAATTTCGATGAAATAACAGGTCATTTCTTAAATTTGCGACCGATCGTCTGGAGCTAATCATTTTCTGCACTTTCCTGGTACATTGATTTAACGTAAAAAATTTCCTAATATGGAGAATTTTGTAGACTCATCCGTTTTGCTACCTGCCGAGGACGTCTCCGGTTGGCGAGATGCATACGTGAGGCCCCGACGTCGATCGTTTATTTCCTAAAAATTGAGTCCTCCCCGGAAAACCCTGTTTTTACGAGAAAATCGATTTTCCGGAAAATCCCAAAATAATGGAGCAACTTTGTCATCATTTCCGGACTCAGCGTTAAATAACACAAAAAAAAAAACATCCGCCACATGTTGAGATTTATTTCCTGAAAATAGAGTTTTCCTCGGAAAACCCTCCATTTTACAAGAAAATCGATTTTCCGGAAAATCCTGATGGAATAGAGGAAAATTGATCGTATTTTCGGATTAAGCGTAAAAAAGTACATGGAAAACACGTCTACCATATTTAAGCTTTGTTTTCGGATACAGACCTATGTAATTATTTGAGATGTATCACCGTCATTTTACCCTCTTTCAGCGTTATCTATATGTTTCACCGCTATAACTAGGGGTAAAGACATTTTTCTGAGGAGTCCAATGCAACTTTTCCTGCTCAATTTTTCCTGCTGAGACGGACTGAGACCAACTATGACCTCAGAGTTTTTCTAGAAATTACACATTCTCCGGGAAATGGATTTTTCCGAGAAAAAGTGTTTTTCAATGTGAAATCACATTTAAAAAAGATGGCTCTGTTGGCACGGGTTAATATTATCCTATTTGGCTGAAACTTGGCAGAGAGTGTGTTTTGATCAAATGGATCAGTTCTAGGGGGCAAGACCAAAAAATTTCCGACATTGAAATAGTTTTTCATCAAACGGGAAAAGATAACTTAACGCCATGTCAGTTCGCCTTCAATTTATAATGCAGGCAACACTAGCTCCCAAGTGGTCGAATAGTAGTATCGTTCCCTATGTAACAGACAGTCTTTTTTGGCAAATTTGTTGTAGACACGATGGATTTTGGTAGAATAGAATTCGGAGAGAGAGAGAGAAATAGAACTTCGGTTCTACAGGGGCTCAAAATCGAATAGGAGTATTGCACAGGCACGTTGATTTCAGAAATTCTATCCCACCTTCTTGGTTCTTATTATTCCGATCTTTCAACTGCGCGCCGCGCCGACTTGACTGGCTCATTACAAATGGTTCCCTTTGGATTTCCAATCAGCTTGGATGAAACACCATTGGCGACAAGCTAATTTTCAAGATGACTAAATTAAAACACTTTATGGAGCACGCGTCTGATGAGAACACGAGGTGTTAGTTGGGCGAACGATTTACCCGGTTCAGAGTGGATGGGGGGAGAGAGAGGGAGAGAAAGAGGTGGGAGGGGGGAGATAAAAAGGATCTTCGTGTACTATACTTATAGACGAGCTGAGAGGTTGACAAGATGTGAGGTGTGGCAGTTAACCTGTTGTGCATGCATTAAACATCAGATTAAATTCTACTATCTTTCTCGTGCGTTGCTTTGAGAGGGTGGGAAGGGGTGTCTCCAGACTATCAATGTCAAATACGACTGGACCAAAGAAATTAGAAGTTGCCAAAATGAAAATAAATAACATTATTTCCTCGTTCAAAAACTTGCATACATGCTTAAAATTAAACCCTTCGCAAAAGTAAACGGTGCGGTGTTAGCACATCACTGAAACGGCAGATACACTTGCGAGTTTCAAGCGCTTATTGAAAGTGTAACACCCATAGAGAACCAGGATTTCGATCGTTCGATGTCGAGTTATCGAAATCCTCCTTAAGTCGCGTCGCGACGTTTCTATAAGCGGCCAGCATGCAGAAAGTGTAAGCGCCTTCAATTTTTGATTATGCAACATGGACATCCGTCAAGTATGAATAGTTGTATCAAAGCGTTTGAACTAACAACGCGGCGTGTACATACATGCGTTCTCTGACTGCGATACTGTCTACGTAGAATCTGGTTTGAATTCCGTCAATTATGAGTGATTACCAATGATTTTTAATTATCTCTCCGCCTTAATTTTTTCCACCGAACACTCGTTGCTTAAAATTTAATCCCTTCAAAATGTGAATGGCGCTTGCACATAGCACTGTCGTATTACATCGTTTCTTTAAGCGGTCAGCACGAAGAAAGTGTGAGCGCCTTCAATTTTTGGCTATGCAACATAGACATCCATCAAGTACGAAAAGTTGAATCAAGGCGTTTGAACTGGCGGCGGCGCGGCGTATCTGGGTGGATTTCAGCTAATGGGAGAAAATGGTTCTCAAAAGAAGTTGAAAAGTGATTTGGCCATATCAAGCTAAAGACTACTTTTCTGTTATCTTAGAGC